TTCTATAACACACTAATAACAAACTAATAATACATTTATAACACACTAATAACACATAATAAAATAATTATACACTCTCTAGTCTACGGTATAACACATTGGGAATCTTCCCTGCGTGTTATACCGCTGGTTATAATGCCGGCCCACGTGTTATACAATACCCCTATAACGCTGTCTTAGCCCGCGGTATAACACTTAGGAAATATTTCATGTGTGTTATCCCGCGGGTTATAACATCTTACCATGTATTATACAGCCGTCTTATAACACGTGAGTGACATTATAACCAGCGACATAACATACAGAGAATATTCCCCACGTGTTATACCATCAAGAAGTGAAGCGTATAATTGTGTTATTATGTGTTATTAGCGTGTTCTTGGATATTGCCATGAATTGAATTTAAGTCCAACCAAACACAAAAAAATAAAAATTAAATCCAACACTCCATTTTATTGTGTTCCCTCTCTAAATCTCATGTCCGATCTCTTTTGCATGTAAAACCCGATTTAATAAATCCCATTGAGAGGCAGATTATGAATTTTATTCCGCCGTCACTCGCGAGATTCGTCTCCATGGATGCATCGATCAGACATATTAGATTTTTAAAATCATATTGAACGTAAATCTATGTTACAACCAAACACAGCATAAGCCTAATTTGGTCGCTCTTCAACTCCTAAACAATGATAGAAATATGTTTCTGAAATGAAATGGCTTGCAATCAATTATGCTTCTGTTGCTTCTCTCATTCTCTCCTTAAAAATGGGAATAAGATTAAATAGGAAAACATGTGTACACCTTTATTCATAAAATACACGAACAAATCCTTATTCGTAGATGCCGTATCATACTTTCGACTCATATCCTTGCACCCTTTCCCCCCGAAAAACTCAATACAAATATCCTCCTAGACTTTAGGATGGTTTTATGAGGCTAGCATTACAAAATATATCCAGCCACAATTATGTTTAGAATATTGGCCTCATAATGAACCATATCCAGCTGCAACTCCAGACCATCATTATCTTCAATCATGTAAAGCATCCTCATAAAAATGACAATATTTTTGTCATAATTAAAAAAGACATTATCCATAAAGAAAAGCATATATTAAAGCTTTCATATATCATCTTTTTGGTGCACTCTAAGAAATTCTCTCCAATGTCTGTAATTTTTAAATTTGCATCGCTGCCCATGTAATTGTTAAGCAAACTAATGTTTTTGAAAAAAATATTACATCAGTACTACGCACGTAGAGTAACGTGCGTAGCCAATGAAATCACGGGGAATATTCTCCCATGTGGTATTCATGTGTTATTGTGTGTTATTCATGTGTTATTGTGTTATGGAATATTTCTGGTGTTATAATAACACAATAACAGATCAATAACACATGAATAACACATGAATAACACGGGAGAATATTCCCCTGTGTTACTGTGCCGCTTTCAATAACACATGAATAACACAGAGGAGAATATTCCCCCGTGTTACTGTGCCGCTTTCTTCTCTGTCGGGGATATTTCTCGTGTTATTCAGGTGGGTTATCTTCTCTGTCGGGAATATTTCTCGTGTTATTCAGGTGGGTTATCGTGTGTTATTCATGTGTTATTGTGTCTTGAGAATATTCCTGATGTTTTAATATAATAAATACAATAACACATCAATAACACATGAATAACACACAATAACATATGAATAACACGCAATAACACATGAATAACACAGAGGTAATATTCCCGTGTTACTAGGCTGTTTTTTTTCCCTGCCGCGCGGGATATCGTGGCGTGATTTCATTGGCTACGCACGTTACTTCTACGTGCGTAATACTGATATAATATTTTTTCACTATTTTTTGCTCTTCTTTTCCAAACTCCTTGGCAGACGGGAGTTTTCTCAAGTATATTCAATGAACAAAACAAGCTCAATTGTTCTAAATGCTGTGTTTTCTGCTTTAATTGTTTATTAAGCATCCTCATTAACAGTTGATGATTTAATATGATTAGAGAGAGAGATAGAGAGAGAATCAATGCATAACTAAACTATCTTCAAAGCATCTTTGAACTGTGATCAAATAAAAAATAAAATATATTCAAATAATGATTAACTAATCTAAGCAAATAAAGATCAAATAATATTCAAATATTTTTGAAGCATCTTTAAATAATGATAGAACAGTCTTTGAACAAAGATTGTATTGTTTTGGAACAATGATTAGTCTTTAAATGATAATTAAATTATGATAAATATAGCGTCAAACATTCTTATTTTTTCTTAAGCATTTCTTAATCAACCTTTAAATATTTTTCAAAACTAGATATTGCTTAATTATGCAATAAACAAATAGAAAAACCACAATAAAGAGAAAAGGTCAAAAGAGCTGCTATGATTAAAAGTTGCTTAATTATTCAACCTCTTTTAAATATTTGTAAAACAATCAAGTATAAATAAGGATAATTACATCCATATCACAAGAAATTTTGATATTTACAAATTAATCATTCAGTATTATTTTTTAAACCGATGTAGTCCTGCATGCCACAGTAAAATTATTGAGAATTTAATCAAAATGAAAAACATAGGTCAGAGTTTTACCATAAATTTTGATTTTCCTTAATTTTTTTCCTCCGATATGCATATATATATATATATATATA